ATGTTATAGGTGAAATATTGGTTTATAACAAACATAGCAAAATATTAGGTTAACATTCAATTAATTTTTTTTTAAATTATTACTTGAAACCCTCAATTTTTTTCACTCTCTCTAAGCTTTTTTTTTCTTATTTTTTCATCACTTATTTGTTTTTGTATATAGAGAGATCATGTATTTCAATATATTTAAAGAAATTAATAAAATTTTTATTTTTTTTATCAAATATAATCAGGTTGAATTCCCCCTCAATTTTTCAAGAGTGAATGTTTAACCCCAATCTTTTTTATTTTTTATTATTATCCTATTGTATACAAAGTCATGGAGACTAAATTAATAGATCAAATTTATAATCTTGGTAGGGTTGGAATACAGGTCTTGTCTTGAGCCTCCCGTGTATTCCAAGCAGTGGTCTGGTGAGGTGTCTTTGGTCCTACAGATGGTGTATTGTAGGAAGGTCTTTACACCATCCTGGAAGAGGAGTGGTCTTGTATGGCTGCCAGTTTTACCCATCATTGAGACTTATGGAGCCTCAATCTATATTGTTTTTATCTAATTATTGTTTCAGTAGAAACCTCTCTGTAAAGAACATCTAGTTTCAGGGCCAAATTTTTTTAACCAGATGGATCTTTGATTTAGATAGAGATGCTTTCTTGCCGGAGAATTTCTAATTGTTAAAAATGGTCATTTTGGCACTTAAAACTGCCCTTTGTAAAGAGATATCCTTCAGAAAGAATGTTCTCATGGAAGTCTTACTATCTCAATATTGTAGTGATGGGGGTCGGTGGAAGGCTGGTTAAACCGTTTGGTTTACGACCACTACGACCCGGGTTCAATCCCCGCATTGGACACTTTTTTTCTGTTTAAAAAAAAAAATGCTCCAATGGCCCCCCCCCGATTCTTGCAAAAGTCCAACCCCACCAGCGAGTGCAAGTAACCAAACAGGGCTCAGGCACATTTGTAAGTGCAAAGTCAAACTGCTTTCACATGTGTAGACATGTGGTGCGCTTACAGTAAAAAAGCAGTCGCTAACTACCCACCATGATTATCATGGCCTGTACCACGTGTACTAGGGATAAGCAAAAAATATATATATATATATATTGTAGTGATTAAAAAATAATTAAATAGGCCTCTGAATTACTTTAAATATTTATTTAATTAGTTATATGAAAGATTTTTAAATATTTAATATAATTTAAATATACATGAGCCAAATAGACCCAGCAGTTACAGCAAGAGGGGAGAACTGAGTTTTTCCCCTTCCACGTGGTGCCACTGTTTTTCCAGACCACCGGTTCTTCCAGTCCAGATAAGAGGGAGTACCAGGAAACTCTGTTCTCCTGACAATAATAATTCAATTATATTCATTATAAATTTTGACCATGCAATATAACATTTCATGTTGAAACTTGAAAAAAAGTGGAAAATATTAGTTGACCTAGAAATTATACCCACAATGATGTGTGTGAATATTATGCATACATTCTGGTAGATTAAATTTCCAAAACAGCTGTGAGGGTTCATCACTGATGAGTCAAGCCCTCCCAATATATTTTTCATTGCAGTAAGGACAGTAGAGTTTTTTTTTTTATATTTGAAAAAAAAAAACATTCATGCTCTAATGTTTCTATTTATTATTTATAAGTGTAGTATATATTTAGGGATAATTTGCGGTACCTTGAAATCCACATAATAGAGGTATTATTGCTTCATCAGTGGTTCTACCATGGTAATAAACCAAATGGTTCTAACCAATGAGGAGCCAGCCCCATGCTTAATATTTCCAATTGTGTCTAAAGCTAATTTTTGTCTAATACTCCACTTGAAGCAAGTCTTATGGACAGAGGGAGTAAAAAGGTAATGTTTATCTATGATAAAGTTCCCTCCCTATCTTTGAACTGAGTGTTAATAATGGATTGTGCCATCCATGAGAAATAACTTATAGATCTTTGGTAATGATTCTCTTGGTAATTTCAGAACTCTCGTTAATCATTTATTGCACCTGCTGCATAAAATTAGTGTCTTTTAGATGTTGATGCTTTTTGTATTAGATTAGATTTTTGATTCAGATTTTTGTACAAAGATTGAGATGTGTAAAAGTATTTTTTCACTATATAATATTTTTTTTTATACGATAAGGCACAATTTGGATTATAGATTATAAATGACATATTATTAATTTATTTGGATTTGGTCTTATTACCTTGTGTTTATTTTTATCATAAAAACATTTTAATATATAAAATCTTATTTATTTTATAAGCGAAGATTTAATTATTTAAATGCCTTAAATTTGCTGCTTACTATCTAAAATAAACAATTTGAACTTTAAAAAAAATATATATATCTATATTAAAAATGGCATATCCTGACCACGAGCACATGTGCTTTACAGAAGGCAGAGCGCCATCTGGTGAAACAGAAATCTGCTAAGCGTATTTACGCAAGTTTGGCCTTAAATACCCATTTCTTGGTTTTTCGGGAAGCCATTGGGACCAAAAAATCTTTTTTGGTCGCAGTGGTTCAGCCTACTCCACGCTGATGAGCGCCAAAAGCGCGAAACGCGTTCGTGGATGGCTTTTCTTGATTTATCAAGAAATTGGGTTGGCCAAATATCAAGGAACAGGCTAAATCAATGTTAGGTTGATTTCTGTTCCACCAGATGGCGCTCTGCCTTCTGTAAAGCACATGTGCTCCTGGTCAGGATATGCCATTTTTAATATTGATTTCAACACCTGATCTTTTTATCTTTTATTTTTTCTTTCGTTTTTTTAATATATATATATATATACAGTACTCTTTTCTGAATTAAAAAAAAAAAAACCAACTAGTGTGGTTTGGTTAATGTTTTTTGTCATCCTTTAGATATATTGATGACCTACTACCTCTTCCTCATGTCAATAATAAGGGGTCTTTTAAAACTAATAATAATATTTAAAAAGAATAAAATTGTTTAAAATTTATATTTTTAAATGAATTGATTAGCAAATAAAGAAATTAAAAGTTTAATTTCGAGTATATAAATATTTTATCATAAAACTATTATGATATATTTTTTTCAAGGCATGAATTAATCTAAAGAAAAATACAATTTTATTCAATATCGACAGAACATTTCGAAACAATAAATGTGTAAAATCTATTTGGCATATAATTTTAAAAAATATTTAATTGGATTTTCAAGTTATTTGTGATTTTCATTAAATATATAACTGAAAATATTAATACAATTAGCATATATCAATAATAATTAAAGTTAAAATAAAAAACCCTGTTTATTTTATCTGTGAAAATACTTATCGCTTTCTACTCTGTTGTCATAATATTCTATCGTTGCCCTTCTCCGTATTTACTTGACCCAGGATACAAATTAACAAAATGGCTACCCGATTTGTTACTAGTAGAGTTTTAAGTTTAATACCTAAACGATCTTATTCAGCTAAAGCAGCAGTTTCTCAAACGGATTTAGCTGGATTAGGGAAAGAAAAGCCTCAATTGCTGACCTTACCAAACGGACTTAATCTTATTACCCAGGAAAATAATTTACCCACAAGTAACATTTCAATTGTTGTTAAGGTCGGTTCAAAAAATGAAACACCTGAGCAATTAGGAGTTACGCACTGCATTCGGACCCTTGCAGGTCTGGATACTGAACATACCACCATTTTTAGACTCACGCGTACCCTTCAACTTTTGGGAGCACCCGTGAAGGTTACAAACAATCGTGAGTATACAATTTATTCTGTTGATTGTTTAAGAACTCATGCAGAAGATGTGACAAAATATCTTTATGAAATTGCATTTGAATCTGCCTATAAACATTGGCAACTTAGAGATTTTACCCCAAAGGTAAAATTAGATATTGATCTTTACAAATCTCGACCTTTGGAAGTTGTTTATGAAGCTCTTCATGGCGTGGCTTATAAAGGTGGTTTAAGCAACTCACTTTATTCCCCTGAGTACATGGTTGGCAAGCATTCATCCCAGATGCTTGAAGAATTTGTGTGCCAACATTATATAGCCCAAAATATTGCTATGGTTGCCCAAGGTGTTGACCAGCGTCTTATGTATCAACTTCTAAAGAATGAGAGCCTTCCCCCAGTTCTTGAAGGAGCCTCTAAAAGTATTGAATCTAAGTATAAGGGAGGTGAGATGAGAATGCAGCAAGACTTGCCTCACATTTACGCAGCAATTGTAACAGAGGGTGTAGGTAACAAGAATGCCAAAGAATATCTGAGCCAGCTTCTGCTGAAAGAGATTGTTGGTTCTCAGCCTAGAATTGAACATGGAGATGGAACAGTCACCAAGCTGGGCAAGGCTGTTGCTGCATCCTGTAGCCAGCCTGCAGCTGCCCAATGTATAGCAGAGAGTTACACTGATACTGGCCTGTTTGGGTTACTGGTAGCTGCCAATCCCAAGGATGCAGAGAAACTGCTGAAGAATGGAGTTGCAACAATGAAAGATGTCATTAAGAGTGCACCCAGTGATTCTGACCTTTCAGCAGCTAAGCAGAAACTGAAGGTCTCACTCCTGATGGAGATGCAAGAAGGCAACAGTGAGCAGCTGGGAGTGAAGCACCTGCTGGGACAGAACATAGAGGAAGATGCCGTCACCTTGGTTGACTCCATCACTGCTGCAGACGTTGCAGCTGTTGGAGCCAAGATTGCCAAGACCAAGCCTACTATGGTGGCTATGGGCAAGTTGGACAAGGTACCTTACCTGGATGAGCTTCTCTAGATCCCACCAGACAGCTTCTAACTTTAGCTAAATAAAGTGGACTCAGCTCATGTCTTCTCCTCTCTCTATCCCAACACTACTGTAAGTTTACAACTATTTGAAACCAGGACAAGTGGAATCAAGTGTTATTCTACTTAATGCTTTCTTAGCATATTTATGAAACTTGTAAAAAAATCCTTCAAATTCTTTAATCTCCAATAAACTTTTAGAAAATTCCTCCCTTTATTTTTATACACAAGATAGACTCTAATAAAAGAAAATAAGACCTAATCCAAATAATTTAATAGTGTGTTAGGGGCTAGGGTCTCTGGCTTTCACCCAGAAGGCCCGGGTTCGATTCCCGGCGTGGGAACCTTTTTACACACTAATACATTTTTTGGATTAGGTCTTATTTTCTTTTATTATAATCTATAATCCAAATTGTGTTTCATCACAAGATAGACTCCTATATACAAAAGCACTCTTTAAATAATGAATGAATTAGTTATCCAAAAATATTATTTGTATATAGAATTTTATCTTGTGAAAATGTATTTAAGAAAAAATTTACAGAGCACAAAAGAATAGAATAAAAGAATTAGCATTTTAATATAATTAGGAAATTTTAGTTTTTTATAATGCTATTTCATTATAAATTGAGAGAACAAGAATTACAAAAAAATATATAAAGCTAAGGTGTGAGGGGGAATTTTTCCATTTAGAAACAGGTGTTGGAAATGGTTTTGTGACAATTTTTTTTCTCAATCTTATAGGATGGGTTGGTGGATTTCCTGAGGAGTAGATGGTTCATCAGTGGTAAATTTTTCAGAAATTTTATACATTGCTTTTAATGTTGAATTAGTAATGATGGGGCACCATCAAAAGTCTCAAGCTTGACACCCTTTTTTTTTTGCTTATCCCTAGTACACGTGGTACAGGCCATGATGTGTAAGCGCACCACATGTGAAAAGCAGTTCGACTTTGCACTTACAAATGTGCCAGAGCCCCGTTTGGTTACTTGCACTCGCTGGTGGGGTTGGACTTTTGCAAGAATCGGGGCCATTGGAGCATTTTTTTTTTTAAACAGAAAAAAAAAGTGCTCAATGTGGGAATCGAACCCGGGTCGTAGTGGTCATAAACCAAACAGTTTAACCAGTCTTTCACCAACCCCCCTGACACCCTAATATAATTGAGTGGAGATAAGATGTTGAATTAGTGTTAGTTGAATTTTTCTATAGAACTAGTGTTCTATACAATTGCTAGAAGATACTGATCAACCATCTATTTTAGGAATTCCACCAACCCATCCTATAAGAATGTGAAAGCCATTTCCAACACCAGTTTAAATAAAAATTGCCACTTCATTCTCTAGACCCCCCACTACACAGTGGTTAGCATAGCCATCCTCCATTTGTGCTAATCCATTCTTTACCTTAGATAACAATTGTGCACAGTAATTTGTCTAGATTTGTTTTATAACTTGATGAATTAGCACACCATGGAAATGTAAACGATTTATAGAGAACACATATTTCTTGTTAAATCTAAAATATATTTTCTACCATCCTTACTATAATAATAACAATAATGAAAGGTACACTTACTATTGAGCCAGGTTCTCCCATTATTTGTATTATTGCTGTAAGGATGGTAGAAAATATTTATTTATAACATGCTATAAATACTTTACAAGCTAAACAAGTAGGTTTGTTACCTAACATTGGTTCATAAATGTTTCCAGTAAGGGGGAAGAGATTTGGCCAAATTTAAAATACCTCCTCTGATTGGCCTGGGTGTACTATGTAAACACACAACATGATTGGCTCATCTTTTCATGTTAGGTTTTGGGGTAATGTAAAAAATAATATTTATAAATTTAATTGCCATCTATCGATAAAATTTATTTGTTACAAAAATAAAAATAAATTATATAAGAAAATAACCATTTAGAGAAGAATCGTTTGAATCATGTGAGAATATAAATCTTGCTGTTTGTTTACATTGCATGCAGACAATTCATAGATGGTGTTTAGGATTTGGCCGAAATTCTCTGAATGTCCCAGTAAAGATAAGGATCTCATAACATGTAGAATTTGGTTAGATTTCATTCATTAGTTGCCCTCGCACATTATTAATTTATCTCCCATGTACACATGGCCATGGTGAATAGTTAATTACCACTTATACTGTAAGTACATAACATGGCTGGCTACATATGTAGTTAACACTTTGTACTTGATACCTGAGTCGTGTAACTATCACTTCATTGGAATGGTGCAGGCCATTAAGGCAATTTTTAATAAGTAGTAACAGATCCATTGTCATATCATACCGCCATGTCAGTTAATATTTTTTATTATTATCCCATTGTATACAAGGTCATGGAGACTGAATTCATGGATCAAATTCACAATCTTGGTAGGGTTGGAATATAGGTCCTGTCTTGAGGCTCCCATACATTCCAAGAGGTGGTCTGGTGAGGTCTCTTTGGTCCTGCAGATGGTGCATTGTGAGAAAGTCTTTACACCATCCTGGAAGAGGAACAATCTTGTATGGCCAGTTTTGAGCCTGGAAATACAGGTTTCTGCCTGTCGGATGGAGACTAAATTAGTCCATAAGTCTCCATGATGGAGGGCTGCTGTCGTTGGTTGGCTATTCTGGGGGCACCACATGGAGGTTACAGTCAGACTTTGTTCCCCAACATGTAAATTAGATCTTCTTCTTTCTTATCTCCACACTGGGTGAAGTAGAATGCCTTTGTCACTGGGAGCACTACTCAGTGGCAGGCCGACTTAGCTCCAAAAGAAATGGCCGCCTCTGACATGAGGAACAGATGCCATGTGCAGCTGCTCCTAACATGGAGTACAGACTCTGCTCATCCTGAATCAGGAGCCCTTACAGGGTACTATCAGCCGGGCCAGCTGTGCCTAGGTTTTTTAGCGAGCTTTTTACTGCTCCCCCTCCTTAGGAGTTATGTCAATTAGATAAATGTTGGGTATGAATATTTATTTGTAGCTTGTTTAAAAACATTTTCTTGTAGTATATTAACTTTCTCTTATATCAAACTATAAATTATAGTTTATACATGTATATCTCCTGGTTGGAAACTTTCATATATTTGCCATTATTTTTATATATGCAAAGCTAATATTTCCTTTTTACTCTCTTATCTAAAACATACACAGATTACCGGGGTGTGTGTGATAATGATAATAAATATGAGGGGGTAGTGACTGCTTGTACTGTAAGTACACCACATGTCTATACATGTGAAAAGCAGTTCGACTTTGCACTTACAAATGTGCCAGAGCCCCTTTTGGATACTTGCACTCGCTGTTGGGGTTGGACTTTTGCAAGAATCGGGGGCCATTGGAGAATTTTTTTTTTTTTATCAGAAAAAAGTGCCCAATGTGGGAATCGAACCTGGGTCGTAGCGGTCGAAAACCAACAGTTTAGACCATCCTTCCACCGACCCCCATATAATATTATATATGATTAAATACTAAATATATGAATAAATGAGATAATGATAAATATATGAATAAATAAAGAATAAGAGAGGGAGAGGTCTGTTTCTAATTTGAAGTGGATGCAGAGTGATTCCCTCGGGATGGACTTGAGTAGGACACAGGAATGTCTAGACTTAGGATGTAAAACTGGGGTATCAAGCTTGAGACTCATGATTGTGTGAGGTATTGCTTTTATCATTAAGACTGGGAGCACTACTCAGTGGCAGGCCGACTTAGCTCCAATATAAAATGGCCGCCTCTGACATGGAGTACAGACGCTGCTCATCATGTTTCCCTGGATCAAGGTACTATCAGTCGGGCCAGCTGAGCCCAGGTTTTTTAGCAAGCTTGTTACTGTTACCCCTCCTCCTTTTTCATCTGGGCTTGGGACCAGCAAAAGTGAAGTTGGTACTGTTAGTTAATTACATATGTAGTCTAACCAGAATGTCCACCTATGGCTGAGAACAAAAGAGAGGCCGCTACTTATCATAAAACAGCTCGAGAAGCATGAACTCATGGAATTCGTGTAATCTTTACACAAGGGGATAAGAAACAAAACAAAAAATATAATCTATAAATTGCCACTAAGAAGGTGTTTTAATCGCTGAAGTTTCACAAGGGTTTGGATGGTGGTACTGTGGGATGTACTGTTTAATTCAAACAACCAGGAGATCAAATTCCACACTGAGCTTTTTTTTTCTAAAGAAAAGATTGCTTCAATGACCTCTTCCTAATTCTTGCATAAGTCAAACCCAACCAATGAGTGTAAGTAGCCAAGCAGGACTCTGGTACCTTGTAAGTGTAAAAATCAAACAGTTTTCCACATGTGTAATGGTGTACTGATAAATACAGTAAAACATAGTTGCAAACCCATGATTGTCATGGCCTATCCATCAATATATAGTCAAACCTCTTTAATTCAACACCTCCTAAGGGATCAAAATTTTTGGTTGAATTAACATCTTTTTTTTTTTTTTGCTTATCCCTAGGTCATGTGGTACAGGCCATGATAATCATGGTGGATAGTTAGCGACTGCTTTTACTGTAAGCGCACCACATGTCTGTGCCAGAGCCCCGTTTGGTTACTTGCACTCGCTGGTGGGGTTGTACTCGGGGGCCATTAGAGCATTTTTTTTTTTTGAATTAACATCTATGTTGAACAGACTAAGTCAGTTGAGTAAGTAGAATGATTGGGATTTGAAAAAATTAAAGAGGTTATACTGTAACATAAATAACAAGAGCACATCCAAATGAATAAACCGTGCTATATTTAGTCCTTTTTTTTTCTCTTATAGAAATGTAATGCATAATTTATTCATTTAGGATATGGTCTTATTATCTTATATTTTTAATCTATAATCTAAATTGTACCTTATCAGGTTATCTTTTGGTGTTAAAGCAGAATTTGGATTATAGAATATAGCTACAAGAAAATAATAGTGTGCAATGTTTCAGTAACAGATTTTTATTCTTTTGTCTGATGATGGTAACAACATTGATACTGAAATGTAACACACAATTTATTTGGATTAGGTCTTATTTTCTTGTAGCTATGCTGTTGCTGAAACATCAAATCCATTTATTTCGATTTGGTCTTGTTGTCTTGAGAATAAATATCAATTAAGAGTTGTTATTCTATCCCTAGTACACGTGGTACAGGACATGATAATAAGGGTGGGTAGAAGTTGGCGACTTTTTACTGCAAGTGTACCATATATCACACATGTGAAAAGCTGTTTGAATTTTTCATTTACAAGTGTGGCAGAGCCCTGTTTGGTTACTTGCATTCTTTGGTGGGGTTGGACTTGGCAAGAATCAGAATCCATTGGAGCATATATATAGAAAAAAGTGCCCAATGCGGGATTCG